TTGTTAATTTCCTACCACTTTGTTTGTAACTCTGTATTGTTTGTATTGTTCTTTTGGTATTTTGTAAATGGTTGTCGTTTGTTAATGTTTTCCTTCTTTTATTTTGAAAAAAAAACACAAAAAAAACAGAAGTTGAGATGTAGGGAGGAATTTGAGGTGCTTTCGTTTTCAACTTCTAGGGAAATCAATTTATAATGCCTTACATTGGGTTCACTCTCACACCCACTCTCGCCCTGTGCTATATTAGCGAAAGAGTGGGTGTGAAGGTAAGAGGAGGCCTAACAGAAACTCTTTCATTAAAAGGAAGGCCGCCGTCCAGTAGACTAATGGCCACGTTCGATTTCCTCAGGGAGTGGGGAGAATTACTCAGCCTGGGCCTTTAGTCCTTCAGGTTCCACTCTTGGGAACTATATTATTACCTTGTAATACAGAGCATCTCTGCTATTAGCCATTAACCGAACCCATCTTTTTCCTCTGTGAGAAACTATAATGTTGACTTTTATTCTCAGACCTCGGTATTGAGCCTCTTCCCTTGGGAGATTAACGGTGCTGAGACACCAGGAGTAGGCTGTGAGGGTAGGACGGTCATGGCAGGAGGTAACTGTTGGAGCACCAGGGAGTTATATATGTCCCAATAACCTGTCTTAGGTTGTTCTGTCCATCACCCTGGCTTCCCTGTGAAATGAACTTTTGTAAACATTCACTGAGAGCTAGAGCTAGTGTTCCCTCTTGTTCTCTCTCATGGATGGCCTTTCTTGAGTCATTATTCGAAAGGAATAGTTTTGTGGTTAAAAAAATAGAAAATGGCATTAAGTGCAAGAAGGTCATTTCCACTAGTCTTCTTTTTTTGTCAGATCTGGGAACAACCCCCAGAAAGTATTCTTGGACTCAGGGCTTGCAAAATGTTAACGTGAGGGTCAAACCTCTGGCTCTTCCAAAGGCCTGTACATCAGGTCAGTCCATTGTTAGCCTGCAGACAGTTTTTTCAATATTTTATTTTATTTTAATAGTACACATGTGCAGTTCATGCAGTTTACAATCACCTTGGGGAATGGTTACGTGTACATATTACAGCATTATTTTGAAACCCCTTTCCCTTTCCCTCCCCTCCTGCTTCCTCCTATGGTTCGCCTGTCACTGTTGTCATAGTTGTTGCTATTATTTGTCTTAGCTCATGTTATGGCATATAATGTTTACACTGATTGGCCTTGTTAGAATCCTGTACATGTCAAATAGGGAAATGGTCCAAGGGAACAAGGGTGAGGGGTGAGGCGGAAGAAAAGAGGAAATGAGAGGAATAAAGATGCAGACAGTTTTTAAAGATTTATGCCACTGCCAGAAAATTCTCTAACCAGAATCTCCAAAAGCTGTGTGTGTACTTAAGGTAGTCTTGGATGTGAAGAATGCTTTAATTTTCTATCAGGAACATTGCCTTAGAAAGGAAAGTATATTTTATTTTATTTCCATCACATAGATATCTAAGCATTTGCTCAAAACATATTCACTTCCCTCCAGTCTATGGTATCTCACTTTGTGTATACATGTGCAGCTATGTGTACATGTATATAATAGGCATGAAATTTTGCAAGTATTTATGTGTGTGTTTATACACATTTTCATATATAGTACGTAGTCTCTCCCACTTATCATAAACAGCACAAACATGAAAACAAACATATCATAAAATGATTGGACCCTTTTCCATTCTCATTGCCTCACAGGAACCACAATGTACAGACAAAGAACAAAGAAACCTTCGTCCTCTAGCAAATGTGGTTTCTCTGACTGTATTATCAGAAAAATTTCATAGAGCTTATGCTGTTCTGAGCACCCTGTGTTTCGGATCTGCAACCATTAGCCAGTGCCTGTATGGAAAGGGGCCATCTCTAGGGTAATAGCATTGTAAATTACAATCAATGCACTCAATTACACTGAGAAACCAAAAGATATGTAGCGCTCCAGTGTGCCTTGTAATCAGCTCCTTGGAGAATGTAGGTAACATCATTTTGAACAAAAAATGGAAGCTGCTGAACATGTTAGAAAATGGATGTTGGAATTAAATCATCCTTCTGATAGAAACAGCACCTTATATGGCAGGCAACCTTTTCTTCCCCTAATATCATTTTATTGATTTTTTTTAAGAAAAACTAATTTGTAGCCTCGTAGCCAAGAATGTCTTTAAAAATCATTTATTGCTCTAATCAGCCTGGCAGAGCCTTTCTGTCATGCTGATAAGGAAATTAAACTTTTCTCATACTGGGTTTACATGCCTCTTATGCGCAGATGTTTTGCTTTTCTTTCAGGGAACTAATTCAGAAGTTGAAATCCTTCATCAGCTTCTATAGTGCTTTGCCTGGCTACATCTGCAGCCATAGCCCGGTGGCTGAAAACGACACCCTGTGCTGGAATGGACAAGAACTTGTTGAGAGGTAACCATTTAAAGTTAAATAGAGCAGTATTTGAGGAATAATCATCATATATTCAACTGAAGGTTAATTATCAGCCCCAATTAATTTCACAAGAGAAATTCTACACAAAACATATGTGAAACCCTGGTGTGGTGGTCCACACTTGTAATCCCCGCCACCTAGGAGGCAGAGGTAAGGCAAGAAGATTGCAAGTTCAAACACAGCCAACTTAGTGAATTAGCTAGATCTTGGCTCAAAATTTAAAAATTTTAAAAAGGGCTAGGGATGTAGCTCAGTGTGAAGGCCCTGGGCTTAGTGCTTACTACCTTAAAAAAACTGAGCATGTATGATATGTCAGAAGCTATGCATAACTTATACCTCTCATAGAATTTAGAAACTTTGAAAATATAAAAAGTGTGTACTCAGGGACATGTTACAAATTGTAAAGCATAAAACATCTCTTTGTGTTTGCATTCCTCTCCTCATTTGTCGGCCTTTAATTTCATTTGAAGAAATTATATTCATACTAATAGCTATCATTTATTTAGAGTTAACTATGCATTAAGAAGCACCATGGTAAGTGCTTTGTATGCATTAATTTTTATCTTTACAAAAATTCTATGAAATGTACGCTGTTATTTTTTCCCATTTTAAAGAAGAATATGGAGTTAAAAAGAAAGAGGAGAGAAAGTAATACCATTTCACTGATTAATTTTACTGAAATATTTGATCCTTTGAGGATTTGTTAGTACAATCTGTGCTAACTATGATCATGTGTGAGGAATTTGCTATCCCTGACTAGGAAATTATATTCATTTATTTTGCAAATATTTACTGAGCCTTAAGTGCCAGGCATGTTCAACTGAACAAAACAAACAAAATTCCTCATTCTCGTAAGGTTTTCATTTTTGTGCACTAATGGTATTCATTGCATGTGTGAGGAATAACTTGCGATTAAAAAATTGCATCAGGAGGATCGAATGCTTAGGAAACCACATGGAGTTGATGAACATGCTTGAAAAACCGTTTGTACAAGTAATGTTATGATGTGAAGGAGGATATAAAAAAGACCTGAAATCAAGATCCAAGTCTTTCACTACTTAGTTTCTTAACCTAATGCAAGTAACTTGATTTCTCTAGGCCTTGGTTTCTCCATTTAAAAAATGAGATGGTTGGATTAGGTCCCTTCACCTCTGATAGTCTGTGTGTTTTCTCCTTATTTATTCATCCACTGACACCTTCAGTGTTTGTTTGTTTTTTTGTTTTGTTTTGTTTTGTTTTGTTTTGTTTTTTCTTTTTGAGACAGGGTCTCGCTATGCAATTCAGGCTGGCCTTGAGCTCACTTTGTAGCCCAGGCTGGTCTCGAACTCACAATGATCCTCCTGCCTCAGCCTCTTGAGTGCTGGGATTACAGGCATGAGCCACCACGCCCAGCTTGTTTTGAGATATTATGTGTTAAGCATAGAGCCAGGTACTAGGAAGTATGGTGAAAAAGGCAAGTTACTTGCTTTGAAGAGCCTACATTCTAGTGGGCCCCAGTTCCAGGACATGAGATGCTGAATAAAATTTCTTCACGATGCAATGTCATGAACATCGGAAGGCCCTGGAGTCGGATATACTGGGGTTTGCATCTCGCTTCTGCTACTTAACTGTGTGTGGCTTTGCCTGAAGCATTTAAACTTGGAAGTCTCAAGGTCCTCCTCCGTAAAGGAAGGGCTTCTAGTAGGGCTGTTGTACCTGTTAAGTGAGGCCATAAATGTGAAGCGCCTAGGAAACTGGCATGTATTGTGCTTCTCTTTTTTTTTCCCCCTTCCATTCCCAACACAAGAAGAAATTCATGCTGAAAATGGGAGGCTTCTCGTCTAAGCTACTTTTGTGACATGGGGCATTTAAAATGAGGTTGCATATCACCCTGGTTGAGACACTGAACTTGCATGGTGACATACTTCCCTGTAGCAAATGTGAACCAGATTGGAGGTATTAATGGTCTCATGCACCCTACTCCATTTGGGAGAAATGCTGTGTGTTCATCATCCCAGAAGCTCATGAAGTACTAAGTAGAATCATAGAAACATACTTAACTTTTATGCAATATTTTTAATGGAGAAAAGCAGTTGGTCTTTGATTTATTCCAATTTATTTGAAAATAGGTATAAACAAAGAATATATTATCTTAAAAAGGAAATACAGGTCAAATATGTGGTTCTTGTATAAACGTGACAATAATCTACCCCAGTGACTTTTCCATTCTTGAGTTAATAGGGTGAAAATGAACAATTCAAGTACTTGTTTTGTTTTAAGTAGCTTGTCTTCTAACTATGGTCCCTTATTAAAAAAGAAATCTTAATTTACAATATATAAATTTACTAATGTTTTCATTCATTCATTCATTTACTCATGTAATGAATACTTAAGCACCTATTATATATCAAGCACCAATACTGGTTTCATTGTTATAGAGTAATTGTTTCAAGACAATGCAACCATGTTGGATATGTCTTTTATTTTTTAAGGGGAAAAATATCAGCTGATCTAGTTGTACTGAACGCGAGTATCTTTCTGGCCCTATGTGCCTTTTTTTAAAATTTATTTTATTTTATTTTTATTTTTATTTTTATTTATTTATTTTTTTTTTGGTACAGGGAATTGAACTCAGGACCTTGCACTTGCCAGGCAGGGGCTTATGCTGCTGAGCTATATCCCCAGTCCCTTTTGTGTCTTGAATTAGTGGATATTGTTATTGAATTTTGTTCTTGTTAACTACTTCATGGCCAGTATACTTTTGTGAAAGATGTTGTTCTGCAACCAAGACAGTTCTTTTCTATCAACTGGCATTGTCCAAAGCCTGCTGAATTTGAATGAGTCCAAAAGTTAACCAAATGTACTTCTGTACCATTCAAAAAAAAACTGAAAAAAACCTTTTTGTGTTGTATTGAAAATGGAACCAGGGCTTCCTTTATGCTAAGCATCTGGTCTACCACTCAGCCATACAACCCCCAGCCCTTGTTAACTGAATTTTTTGTTTAATTTGCTAACTTTAAATATAGTAAGGTGCTGAACAAAATAATAAGATAAACATTGTAGTATAGAGGTTATTTGTTATTCCAAACTCTAATTTTTACTTCTGAAATATATTTCTTTCCAAGCAACTTCTGTTGTTAACACGTACTATCAAGGAAAGAAAGGAAGCAGAGAAGGGAAGTGGGGAACAAGGAAGGGACTAAGGGAAGGAGGAAGGAAGGGGAAAAATCAAACACATTGGCACAGAATAAGGGTAATATCATGTAGGAAGCAACTCCTTGGTTAGTAACCTCGGGTTATAATTAACCTGTACTTGTATCACTGACCTAATGCAATGATGAGACCAGGGAATAGTGTCAAACTAGATTGTTTTGAAAAAAAATTCCTCAGGAATATACACTTAATAATATGAAGTTCTTTAGCCCAAGGACATGTGTGCCCTCTATTTATATCATTTATGAAGATTAGCTCTGCACTCATGCCTCATCTATAGTTAAAACCTCTTCCCAGACCTTTTCATTGAATTTCCCATTTAATTTAGCCGTAAGTAACAGCGTCAAATGGGTTGTAACTTTTGTTATCTTTGTACATTGTGCTTGTATTGCTTTGAAAACACTTTACTTTTAGGCAAGAAAAATAATGAAAGTGAAGGAGCCTGACACAAGTTGAGTCTTGTCATCGGAGATACTTGATCAAAAAGGGATATATAAATGCTGAAGAAAGCCCTGAGTTTTATCCATGATAACTGGGTTATCAGAGCTGTTTATGCCCTCCTTCTATGGTTGTATACATCACTGAACTTTTTAAAAGAGTTAAGCCATCCATTTTCTCTCTGAATAAGGCCATGTTTCACACACTTTCAGTTTTTATCCCTTGCAAAGGTAATCAATAGAAAGTCACAGGGAGTACCACTAACACCTATTATTTGTCCTCCTCAACTCCCTGCCCCTGAACCTGGCCCATGTGAGGTATTTTCTTTCATGTGAGCCACCCATGTACCCTCCATTTCCCAAAGGTGGCAAACCTTCCAGCTTTTCCCTTTGTGAAACTGCAGAGAATTTCAATCAGGGAGTTCCTGTGACCAAGAGAAAAATAGAGGACACCACAGAAATAAGTTAACACTGGGCTTACTGATAGGTAAATGTAGGCTCTGGAGTTGCATTGGTCTCTATAATTAAGTGTGATTATTTAGGTAAATACGTCCTCAAGCACCTTTTTAAAAACATTAGACCAGATATTGGATAACTTGCTGAAATTTTTATTCTTCTGGATGGTCTGTACTTTGTAAGCCCAATTTTGTTGTGTAATCAAGTTTGTCTTTAAATTTGTGTTCACAGGGCTAGGGATATATCCCAGCAGTACAATGCACAGGGCTCTGATTCTATTCCCAGAATTTCCTAAGTAAACAAATTAATGTAGCAGAGAAATGATTTAGGCCTATGCATGGTCAGAAAAGCCTAGTTTAAGAGGAAAAAATGCTATTTTGTCTTTGTATTCAAAATCAAATAATGCAGGATCATTCAACACCGACAGAGCTGTTACTATATACTAGGGCCTGTGGGTATCCAGTGATAAGAATGCAGCTTCTGCCCTGTTGAGGAGTTCAGAACCCAATGAGAAGGGGAGGAACGAAATTCAAGCACTCTTTCCCCAGCAGTCTAGGAAGAGTTCACCTTAGAGGGACTTGAGAGGCTCTATCATTTGCATTGAACATTGTGTGTGTGTGTGTTTGTGTGTGTTATCGAGGTAAAGGTCACATAACGTAAAATCAACCATTTTAAGTTCTATAATTCAGCAGCATTTAGTACATTCACAGTATTCTACAACCACCATCTCTACCTAGTTCCAAGTCATTTTCATCACTCCAAAAGGAAACGTTCTGTACATTGGTGATTGCATCCATTGCCTTCTGTGTCCAGACCTTGCAACCAACAATTTGCTTTTTGTCTCTATGAATTTATCTTCTAGATGTTTCATATACAGTGGTACCTTGGTTTACA